TTATTTTTTCAGGTTGTTAGTGGCGTAAATCGTCAACGGGCATCAAAACCCGCATATCCATACAGAAAGGGGCGTTTGGGATATGCATGCTTAGAACAAAAAATAATAAGTACATATAAATGCTTTAATATGATATATTTACAAAAAATAGTAAGTATATATAATAGGATATAATGTTTTATTATCCGTCTTAATGCGTAGTTGGAAGAGGAGAAAAGTGATGCGACATCTCTTCCGGACCATGTTGTATGGAAGGCTGCCCGTGTGGGAAGAGATGGAGTCGTTCAGGAAGAAGTTCAACAAGTATTTGTACAATGTGTAAGTACAATGTTATCTTTGTCAGTAACTGATCAAAAGTGTATAATATATTTATATATGCTTTTATCTATATTTCAGGAGACTCTATCCCAAACTATAACTCCCGCTGAGGACGATGATTGAAGGAGCTTACTGAGTCGGGTGTTGAATATTCCTGAGTATTCTGGGTGTGTGAGGGGTAAGGGATTTGGTGTCACTCCATCCAAACTGTATAAGCAGCCAAAGAAAAAAAATCCAACCAATAAAGAAGTGATGGATACTTTGGAGGAATTAAAAGCGCAGATTCGTGACTTACAGAAGGACAAAGAGAGATACATGTCGGAAAGGCACGCTCCAGAGGGTAAAGCTACTAGTGACAAAGATAGTATTGGTTGTCCGCAGAAGCTTCCAGAGGTAATTGTATATATTACATTGAAATTAATTTAGCACAGTTTACTTAATTGACACATTAACTGATCATTATTTGTTTATGGCATTTCACCTTGCCGGCTATATTTATCGTCACCGACTCATCGAATGGTTGGCAAGGGAAAGGTGCATAACACTCTGGGAGACTTACTTCACCATAAACCACTCCCTTCTGCATTTTTGAAAGTATCTATTGATATTGCGTTAGAGGGGGTGCGTTGTTGCCTATACCAGATGCTGTTTCAGATGCAACAGTGGTGGGAGACGCAATAGAAGCGTATGTGGCATGGCCGACAAATCTCATTTGCACAGATGATGAGGTAGGTTGAACCTTTTAATATTCAAATGTTTTATGATCCATACATGAAATTTATTCTTACATTTACATTTTCTTATTTACATGATGATCTTAGACTCCTACAAAATCCAAATCAAAAGATGATAGAATTATTGTGCGGGATACCGACTCAGCTGCATCAAAGAAACAGGTACTACTACGGTTACATGATTATCTTATTATACATTAATTACTGAACTTATATATGACTTTTAGGTTCATGATGATCAGCAGTCCCAACAAATCAGCAAGGGTAAGATGCCTGAAACTTCCAAGGTGCCTAGAAAAGCATTTGTTCCTCGATTTAGGATGTGCCTTGAAACATATGTGGGAACATCAGATGTGCCTGAGGGTGGCATCCGTCAAATACATATGGACAAAGGTATTTTTGGTTTTGAATATCCCGAAACAATTGATAAGGAGGATTTTGACCAGGTTTTCAAACATTCTGAATTGGGCGTCGGTGTTATGCATTCCTACATCAGGTACTTCAATCCATTTTAATTAAATAATTGAACATTTTAAAAGTTGCTCGTTTAACTGAATATTCTAATGTTGATTATGTTTTTTTAGGCTCTTGTATGACAAGTTGTTGGTCCCGAATGATTTGACTTCAGTATTCGCATTCTTATCTGCTAGCTGTGTCAACTCACAGACAATAGACCAGACACCAGATGCAGTCAAAGAGTACACAGTGCAGAGATTTATGGGCGCGGCTACGGAGAAGTTGTTCTTGTTGCCATATAATACTGGCCATGGGTTAGATTTTATTCTAAATTCATTTATTATAATTGTTCGATTTTTGCCTTTCTATATAACATTTCCGTCTAAACTGTTGTCTTATTTTATAGTGGACACTGGTTGTTGGTCGCGATTAATCCGAGGAAAGAAATAGTGTATTATATATATTCATTGGATGGCGATGCAACAAAATATGAAAATCTGAGGAACATGGTTGATACGTAAGTGATGAGATATATTGTTCTGAATAATTATATATCTTTATTTATTATGTGACATTATTCTAAATATGCGTTTATATTATGTTAGAGTTATACAAATATTCAGAGCACAAAGAGATGAAACGGTGCCAAAAAGCAAGGCTAACAACATCAGATGGATGAAAGTGGAGGTATATTTTCCCATGTTTGACTGTTATAGTGGTTCTACTTGATAAAACTATTTAAACTATATATCCTGATAAATGTTCGTTTGTTTTTTCCATTTACAGTATCCTCGTCAGCGCAATGGGATTGACTGCGAATATTTTGTATTGCGCTTTATGAAGGAAATTATTCTTTCAGGTCAAATAGAGATTTCAATCATGGTATGGATCAATTCATAAGTTATATGATTCATTTTGATAATTAACCGATATTTCATCTGAGTAATTAGTTTTAAAATTAAATCGTGCATGTTCTGTTATATTATGTAGTACTTTGATGAATACAAGTGCGATACTTACTCGAAAGCAAGATTGGAAGAAATTAAGGAGGATTGGTGTCAATTTATTCTTCAGTTGAGAATTGTATAAAGTTATCGGATTGGAAGAATTGTAATTATATGTAAATTGACTGTATTTGTTATGTTGTAATTCTGAGGATCGAATTTTGTTGTAACATATTTAAGCAGGTTTATATGTATTAAAATGATTATGGGCAAAGTGATGAGTTACAATGTATACTTAAAGGCCAAAGTTTTGAATTGTATATATAAGGCCAAAGTTTTGAATTGTATATATAAGGTCAAAGTGTTGAAATAAAGGCCTGAATTATAAGCAGGTTTGTGTAATATAAGCAGGTTGTTGGTAAATATACAAAACATCGTGATTATTTTTAAAAAAAATTAAAATATGGGACATTAGACAACGCTTTTACAAAAAAGCGCTGCTAAAAGTTACAAACATAGCGCTACAAAAGCACTGCTATAGGTTGGGAAGGGGGGTCTAAGACAGCGCTGCTAAAGGGGGGGGGGGGGGGCTATGACAGCGCTTTGTAAAAGTGCTGCTAAAGGTGGGGTCTAAGACAACGCTTTGTGAAAGCGCTGCTAAAGGGGGGAGGGTTGGGGGGAATAGGCAGCGCTTATAAAAGCGCTGCTATAGGGTGAAAAAAGCGCTGCTAAAAGCGTTGCTGAAGGGATCCTTTAGCAGCGCTTTTTCTTTAAAAAAAGCGCTGCCTTTACCTTTAGCAGCGCCACTTTTGGCAGCGGTTTTAAGCGCTGCTAAAGGCCAAAAAAAGCGCTGCTAAAGGTATTTTTTGGCATAGTGCCTAGACATAGATTTGGCCAGGGAAAGATGCTTTTGTATAAATTCCAATTAGTGACTTATTTGAGTTGGTGAACTCAAGTGTACATGTTGCCATACAATACTACAAATAACTCTTAAATACTTAAGTCTTAGTTACGTTGTGTGAGTGAAACACAAGTAATGAAAGATGAAGACTTGAGTTAGGAATCGAATAAAAATCGTGTAGAGCCGAATGAATCCATATTATAGAAGATCTCACTGAGATAATTATTTCACCCCATTATATTGTTATTTTTCTGGTGTTAATTACATGTTAAGTGCAAGGAAAGTTGCATGTTGATGTTTCAAAGGATTCTGACTATTGTGATCTTCCCCTGTGGATTGTGTGCAATAAAGATATTGCATATAGATATTAGTTTTTACTTAGGAACTATTATATGTCATGTGTCATACTTTGTATTTTATCTTATGCACTGGATATAACGATGCCGCTAGACACTTGTGTTATATCAGTATCAAATTAATATTTCGTATAACATATTTTTTTTTAACTCTAAGGGTAAAGGTAGAAACAATGTTTTTAAATTTGAAAGAAATTTTTCTATTTTTTCCTACTTGGCATGCTCCACAAAGAATATATTCCCTCCATTTCTATTTATAAGCAAATTTTAACATTTTAGATTAATTAAGTAATTAATCCATCTAACTAATATATAGTCCAACTACATCAATTATTAAATGAATTTAAAAAGTCAAATTTTACTTATAAAAAAAATGAAAGAAAAATAAGACATTAACAAATATTCAAAAGAATAATCACTTTTTTAAATAAAAAAATATACACAGAATAAATACTTACTAATCAAATATTTAAAAATTAGAGCATATCTATCAACATTTTTTTATACGATTTGTCAATCAACTTTTTTTTCAATATTACATTCCTCGGTAAATACAAAATTACGGTTTAAAAAAATATAATTAAACAATTTGACTTAAAATTTTAATATTATAACATATTCCTTAATATGTTAATCAACGACACGTGCATGTGAAAATGTAAAGATATTTTGTTTGAATACAAATTTTTTCCGGCTCTAAAATAGACCATCAAATTTAGGTTGCCCTGGTCCCACGGCTCTAAGTTGAATTTTATTAAACTTATATTTTCAACTATATATACTGTATATAGAATCCAACTTTTTCTTTAAAAAACAAAAAAGAAAGAAAAAATAATCAGATATTTCCTTAAAATTCCTATAATGGATAAGAAAATCACGTTTAGTTTTAGTGTTTCTTCCCTTTTTTTTGTTTGCATTCAAAACCATTACGCTAGTGCCAACCTACTTCTCAAGAAAAATAACACAGTCCACACAATATTGGAGATCATATTTTGATGGTAAGCGACGTGAAAAAAATTGTTTTTTATCCCAAAACCAAAACCAATCCGAGACGCACTATCCCCACATATCTGCATCCTTTGGTTCACCGGCTTAGCTCATAGGAGCAAAATCTAAAACGAATATCATTAGCAAGAAAGAAAACAAAACAAGCCAATGCGCATTTTACACGTTCTTTCTATCCAAATCTTGTCAAAACTGTCTTAAATTTCAATATTCGTCTCTATAAATAGAAGCCCCAACTGTTCATAACAATCACTTCTCCCCTCTTCCATTTCAAAGCAACACAAAAATGGCATCATCATCATCATCATCATCCATTATCTCTTTATCTTCTACTTTCCTACAAAAGGACACTCCATTAAAGAGAACAACAACAAAATCCCCAATCTCCAAATGCCCTCTTAATCCAATAAAAGTCTCAATGTCGGCGTCCGAAACAGACAAGACCACATCTGCGTTACCAATGCGAGAAATACCAGGCGATTATGGCCTCCCTTTTATAGGACCAATCAAAGACCGTCAAGATTATTTCTACAACGAAGGCCAAACCAATTTCTTCAAAAACAGAATCCAAAAATACAACTCAACCGTTTTTCGCGCCAATATGCCACCTGGCCCATTCATTTCATCCAACCCAAACGTCATCGTTTTACTCGACGGTAAATCCTTCCCTATTCTCTTCGACGTTTCCAAAGTAGAAAAACGAGACCTCTTCGTCGGAACTTACATGCCTTCCACAGAACTCACCGGCGGTTACCGAATCCTCTCTTACCTCGATCCCTCCGAACCAAAACACGACCAACTCAAACGTTTTCTCTTCTTCCTCCTCAAATCTCGAAGCAGCCATTTCATCCCTGAGTTTCATTCATCTTACACAAACCTCTTCGAAACTTTAGAGAAAGAGCTTGCGAAAAAAGGAAAAGCAGTTTTCGGTGATTCCAGTGATCAAACAGCTTTTAACTACTTTGCAAAAGCATACTTCGGAGTTAACCCTTCCGAAACAAGACTCGGAACTGATGCTCCGAGTATAATAACGAAATGGACCGCGCTTCAGGTCGGTCCAATTCTTACTATAGGTCTTCCGAGGTTAATCGAGGAACCACTTCTTCACACTTTTCTTCTTCCACCAGCTTTGGTGAAGAAAGATTACCAAAGACTATATGAGTTTTTCTACGAGTCATCTTCTGGACCGATTTTAGATGAAGCGGTTCGACTCGGGGTTTCTAAAGAAGAAGCGGTTCACAATCTTATATTCGTCACTTGTTTTAATTCATTTGGTGGAATGAAGATTTTGTTTCCAAGTATGTTGGGGTATATCGGAGAAGCTGGAGTTAATCTTCACCGTAGGTTAGCAGAAGAGATTAGAGCGGTTGTTAAATCCAACGGCGGGAAAGTGACGATGGCTGGATTGGAACAAATGCCGTTGATGAAATCAGTGGTATATGAAGCCCTTAGAATCGATCCACCGGTGCCGTTTCAATACGCGAAAGCGAAACGTGATTTAGTGATAGAGAATCACGAGAATGCGTTTCAAGTGAAGGAAGGTGAAATGCTGTTTGGTTTTCAACCGTTTGCGACTAAGGATCCAAAGATTTTTGATAGGGCTGATGAGTTTGTTGGGGATAGGTTTTTGGGGGAAGGTGAGAAGTTGTTGAAACATGTGCTTTGGTCAAATGGTCCTGAAACGGAACAAACAAATGTTAGTAATAAGCAGTGTGCTGGCAAGGACTTTGTTGTGTTGTTTTCTAGACTTTTGGTGGTGGAGTTGTTTCTCAGGTATGATACTTTTGATGTTGAAGTTGAAAAGGGGGCATCAGGATCATCTGTTACCATTACCTCATTCAAGAAAGCAACTTTTTAGTTTTACTCACTCGTGTTGATATAAGGGATTAACTAGATAATCATATTTGAATATATTTTTGTATTTTATTTGATTTAAATTAGTTTTTTAATCTCTATTTTAATTATTTTGATGTAACCGACGTGTTTATATCCTTTTCTTATATTCTAGATACTACAATAAATCATTCCTACCGTCCAAAAATAACGTGTTCTGAAAAATAGATATTAATAAGATGGACAGAAAACGCAGTAGCGAGTCTCTTTCAATTAAGATTTCTATTTTAAAAGATAGTGGTAAATTACAATTCTAGATCTAAGCACTAATCATAATTTTATATAATTTTATATATTACAGCGGTTAAGTTATTTAACAATTTTGTATTTTATAATTTTGTAATATTATTTATTTTATTAACTAATTATCTTTTTATTTTAATTAATAAAGTATTAGTTTTTTTTTATAAATAATTATCCCGCTAAACTTAGACATTTTTTTATTTTAATTAATAAAATAATATTTTTATCTTTTGTTAGCAATAACTCATGTTAAATTTTTAGCATTGTTTGATATTAAAAATTCTTCGAAAGATTACGTTTTTAAATGAAATAAATAATACTAATTTAATATATAAAAGCTATTTACACTGAGTAGTTTTGAAGTCAAAATTTTTGTAACTTTTTATTATTACTATTATTATTTATTTCACTTATTAGCTTTTTTTTATTTTTAATTAGTAAAATATCAATTATTTGATAATTAAACTACTTTTTTATATTTTAATTAATAGCTTTCGTTTTATCTTTTGAAAGAAATAACTCATGTTAAATTCTACCAGTGTTTTATAATAAAAATTATCTAAATCTTATATATAAAAGTTAAAAGCTAAAAGCTATTAAATCACTTAGCAATTTTGACTTTAAAATTTAAGATATATTTGTAATTTTTCATTTTTATATTAAAATTATTATTATTATTATTATTATTATTATTATTATTATTATTATTATTATTATTATTATTATTATTATTATTATTATTATTATTATTATTATTATTATTATTATTATTATTATTTATTTCTACAACTAGCTATTTTAATTTTAATTAATAAAATATTAATTGTTTGATAATTACCCTGCTAACTAACCATTTTTAAATATTTTAATTTATATAATATTTTTTTATCTTTAGTAGCAATAACTCATGTTAAATTTCTACCATTGTTTTATGCTAAAAATTCTCTAAAAGATAATTTTTTAAATAAATAAAAATAGAGAAAATAATTATACCATACAATAAGAAAAAAGTACTCACACCTAAATCCGACTGGTTCATCTTCATCTTCTACTTCACTTGAATGTTAAATGCTCGGAAGATTTTGTCTCTTGAACGCTAGTGTGCTTCTGTCCCCAAATGCTTTCTATTCTTAATCTGTATATCGATCTTGCTTTGCTGAAATGAACCAGATGATTTAACACTGTGTTGAACGGATTAAAAACTCAACTCGCCGGAAGCCTATTTTTCATTGTCGGCTTATCTCTTTTCTCACTGTGATAGAATGATTTTCTGACTATCATACTCGTTGAAGTTGTTGGTCTTTTCCCTGAAACCATCTCAGTTCCTTTTGTTAAACCCCCATCCATCCATGTTGCTTCCACAATCGTGTCGCCACCTACGAAATCATTCGCCCAAGCTCTTAAGGGTGTCTGCGACATTCTGACTTCATAGCTACCTTAGCCTGTCATTAAAGGGGATCAATTACGATTCTAGAAGACGAATATTTGGCAGGACTCAATGAATGCAAGAACGGTCTAAATGGGCGGGTTCTCTGGCCTAAAGGTTCAACACCTCTTACAGTTGCAGCGCTTCGCTCGAAACTCTCTCAAGTTTGGTCGGACATCGAAAATTGGGGAGTATTGTCACTTGGAAAGGGATACTATGAATTCACATTTCCAAATCATGAAGATATGAGACGAGTAAGAGCAAAGGAATCGATTAGCTTAAGCTCAGGTTCTTTGAAGCTCTTTGCTTGGTCGAAAGATTTCAACCTTTCTTTACAGCATAACGCTTCTGCGTAGGTTTGGGTTCGTTTTTATGGTTTATCTCAAGAATATTGAAAGCGTCATATCCTTTTTTTTCCATTGCCAGCTGTGTTGGAACGTCCATCTGCATTGATGCGACATCTTCCAAATCTAAATTTTACTAAACTTTTGGTCAATTTGTCCGAGTATTAATAGATATGGATCTTACTCAGCCTATCAACCACAACTTTCTTGTCGAAAGGAAGGGCTTTGCTTTTTCCTCTGATATTGAGTACGAAAATCTACCCGATTTTTGTTCCCATTGCAAGAAAATAGGGCATGATGTGCAATACTGCAAACAATTGAAGAAACCAATTTTTCAACTGATTCAAAAAGCTAAGGTGACTTATCTTACAAAATCCGTTTCTACTCTGCAGGGTGAAACATTGAGGCCAAACATCATTGGTGATGATGTTGTCCTCAATTCTAATAGAAACGATACGAGAGAGGAAGGTCAAGACTTGGATATCAACCAATAGGCTAATTTGATTATGCCTGCTATGAAGCAAAATTTAATTATTCAAAATCCGGTAAAAGTCATCTCGCAACCTTTGGTGGAGTTGGAATCTCAATTATCTACTTTTGTGGAAGCTGCCCAAGCAGATCCAGTGACTAATACACCTGTTGCAGATGCGATTTTCTTGAACAATTCGTGGGTTGTTCTAGAAGCAATTAGGGATAAACCAAATCAGAGTGAAGGTGTTTTTTCTTCGGCTCTAAACAATCTCAAAAAGAAACAATCAGCTAGGAAAAAACAACAGTATTCAACAAGGTATAAAGAAGGACTTAAACACCTTACATCATGAAGTGCCTTTATTGGAATATTGGTGGAGTTGCTAATGCTCCTTCTAGATTAGCACTTAAGAGACATATTAATATTCATCATCCTAATTTCATTTTCATAGCAGAGCCCAAATTGGATTATGCTAAGTTCCCTACCAACTAGTTTACTCGTTTAGGTTTTAAGCTTTTTGCTTTCAACAATAAGGCCCAGTCGTCTTTATGGTGTTTTTGCATTAATGATGTTTTCTCCTATCATCATATCTTCCTCGGATCAGTTTGTTGATTTTAGTTTTGTATTGAATAACCATGTCTTAGCTTGTGATGTAGTGTATGCCTCCATCAATCTCATTAAAAGGGGATATCTTTGGAATGACCTTAACCAGCTCCTTTCTTCACATTCGATCTTGTGGTCTTTTGTGGGTGATTTTAATGCTATTATTGGTGCCCATGAGCATCGTGGTAGGAACTCTCCAGCCCGCGCTTCGATGACATATTTTAAGAATTGGTCTGATGCTAATAACCTTAATCAATTTCCCACTAGTGAAGCTGCTTTTACTTGGTCTAACAAGCGCGATTTTCCTTATTCCGTTGAGAGGTGGCTAGACAGGTGTATTGGGAATCTCTTTTGGTTTGATGCCTGCAATCGAATATTTATTTCTACTCTCATTAGAATTAGATCTGATCATTTTCTGCTGCTTTTTGAATTTCATGTTAACCCTGCTCGTGTGGCTTATCAGTTCAAATTCCTCAAATCTTGGTCATTGCACAAGGACTGTAGAAAATTGATAGAATTGGTTTGGGCTACAGAAGTTACTGTTTGTCATATGTATACTCTTACTAAGAAGCTACAACTGCTGAAAAATAAGCTTAAAGAGAGGAATAAAAATGTATTTGGAAATGTCACATCTAATGTTAAGAATGCTGAAAAGTTTCTTGGTAGAATTCAACATCAAATCCAAATTGAAGGCATTAATGACAATCTCAAGCAGCAAGAAATTGATGCGCAAAAATCTCTTTTGATGACTCTCGACATGGAAGACGCACTATGGGCTCAACGAACAGCTTTCAAGACACCAATAGGGATGTCTCCCTATCGACTTGTTTTTTGGTAAGGCATGTCATCTTCCTGTTGAGATAGAACACCGTGCTTATTGGGCGGTAAAGAGTTGTAATCTGGAGATGCAACAAGCAGGTATTGAAAGAAAACTCCAATTACAACAGCTTGAAGAGCTTATGCTAGAAGCTTATGAAAGCTCTAGAATTTATAAAGAGAAAACCAAACACTTCCACGATAAAATGATTTTTAGGAAGGAATTCTCTGCGGGCCAACAGGTTTTATTGTTTAACTCCCGCCTTAAGCTTATGGCTGAGAAACTTCGATCCAAATGGATTGGCCCTTTTACTGTTACTGATGTTTTCCCTCATGGTGCAGTAGAAAGTAAGAGTGCAGGTACTAACAAGGTTTTTAAGGTCAATGGACAATGGTTGAAGCTATTCCATGAGAGTTCGGTACCTGAAGGTGCTACCATAGAAGAGTGTTCTTTGGAAGAACCCAACTACACTGCAACATAATCAGGGAGCACCCTTTCCTTTCTCTCACTCTTAATTTTTTAATTGAGTCCCTTTCATTGAGGGCAATGTCTGTTTTAAGTGTGGGGGAGGGAACCTTTTGTTTTGTTTATTTTGTTTTGCTTAGTTCTTTTTTTCCTTTATTTCCTTTCAAATAAAAATAAATAAATAAATAATCTGTTTACTTAGAAAAACACAAGACATTTTTTTGAAAATTTTGGGCTATAGATCAATTTGAGGTCAGATGGTGGAGACTTGGGAACAATTCATAAGATCGGTATCGTTTTAACACCTTGAGTCTCCCAAATATGGAAATCGATTTAGATACTTGTTATGGCATAGTCTTGAGTTCTCGTCCTTTAATAGCTTTTAAGTAGTTTATCTAACAGTCAGCACCATCTAGAAATCACAGGCTAAGTAATTGAGCTGATGCAAATAAGTGAATGATCCCGTGCTTAATAAGAAGTCAAAATAGGAATCCGCCTTCTAAGTTAGGTGACCCTCACCCGATCACTTAGGCTAACGGTTGTGAAACCTTTCAAAAAAAAGAGACAAAAAGTGTCCAATTCTGAATTATTGAAAAAAATATGGATCATAGTCACTAACAAGTTCAGTAACCATGTGTGTGAATAGATAAAGGGTTTAATACGATTGCACTAGAATGAAAGAGAGCAAAAAGGAGGATGAGTAAGTTAGACTTAGGCACAACGATATAATTTGGATTGGCAAATAGGAGGGAGCCTTATGACCGTACAATTGCGGATTTGTGTTCTTACGATATCCTTAGTGTGCAAAATTAGTACATATCAATGCGATCTTGACCAAAGAAGAGTTCACAGCCTAGAATGATTATCTAAATGTTTTTGTGTTTCATGAGTTTTGGTAATACTTTGCTCGGAGTGCAAAGGTTCAAGTGTGGGGGAATTTGACCAGTGCATTTTGATGCACCTTCCTCTATGTTTAGACTTAAGCATTTCTATAGTTTAGTTTGTTTAATTTCCTATTTTATGATATTTTTACAATTTAATTTATTTTCAGCTTTATTTGATTTTCGTTTGTTATTTTTAGCATTAACAGTTTTTAATGAAAAATTCATAACTGGAGCTACAAGAATCGGATCGAGGCGTTCTACCAGTCGTTGGAAAGCTAAGGAAAACATATACAACTTTCCTGTTGCACGAAGAAGTTGATTTGGATTGTTTGAGTCTCGAATAATTTGTTGAAGTTTTTGACTTGTGATAATGTAGTTGTTTTTCCCTTTTGGGTCTGGTTTAGGTTTCCAACCTAGTTGAGTGTGTAATGCAAATCTTATTCTGTTTATAAGGTTGCTGTTATGATGCAAAATGGCTACCCTAGTTTTATTCTGAAAATTCCTTGCTTTTTACAATTGTAATGGAGAGCTAACTTCCTTAGGTTAATCTGCTGTAATCGGTTTTTGCCGACACTTTGAGGTTCCTTTAATTTCCAATAAAAACTATTTCCTTTCAATTCTTCTCTATGATATATTTTTTTGCTTAATTCGATTTATCTTAGGGGTGTGATTGATTTATTTCGATGATTTCATGTTCTTATGCTTTAATCGTGTTTGTTTAATTCGCGTATGTTCCCGTGTTTGCTTAATTCACAGTTACTGTATCTAATCCGTTTGCTTAAATCTGAAATTAAGAATATGTGTCGTATAATAACAATTGCGCTTGTTTGATTGTTATTATAATCAAGAAGGAGATAGAGTCCTCTTAGGAATTGGGAATTAATTGGATCGATGATAAGTTGGGAAACCGAAACAACAGATTAATTGTTTCAACTTATAACTTTAAGCACTTTTTATTTTTAATCACTTTTTATTTTTTAATCCAAACCGAACCCCTCCCCATATTTCATTACTGTAATTGGTTAATTACTACAAGAATCCTTGCGATACGATACTCGAGTCATTGTCGCTTTACTACGGTTTTTCAAATCACTCGGTTTTGATCTGCGTGCGACAACAGATCAAAATACTCTTGATAAAGGTATTGCTATAGAAGTTGATGGCGCAGGGACAATCTAAGATAGAAAATCTCTCACACCAGCTCAGAAGAAGCTTTACAAAAATCATCTTGAAGTTAGAAGCATTCTAGTAGATGCTCTACCTTATTCGGAGTATATCAATGTAACACCCCATTTAAAATATTTAGTCATTGTGTGTTATTTGTGATTTTATTGACTTAATTAAGGGTATGTGGTTAAGGGTGAGAGGGAGGAACTAGCCTTAATTGAGTAATATGAATACAACTTTTGAATAATATGATAATGATAATTAATTAATAAGGAATGAGATATATTATTATTATTATTAATTCTATTATTATTATTAGTAGTAGTAGTAGTAATATTATTATTAGGAGTTAATTAAGTGAGATAAAAACAAAACTAGAGAGATATTAGCTGAGTTTTGGGAAATAACTGCTAGAACGTAAAAGAGGAAGAGAAGGAGACCTAGGACCAGAAGAACTAAGGTTTTCACCATTGTTGAAGGGAGAAAGCTCAGAATTCAGGTAAAGGGGGAGAATGAGATTCATTAATGGTGATAATAACATGAGAGGGTAGTGAGGGTTCCTTTTCCTCTTAAGATTTTATGTACATTCTTCCTTTTCCTTGTCTGATTGCTATGATTGTGTGATGGTTGCTGTTAGTTTGTAACTGTGTACTGACTGTGCGTATGAATCTGTGTTGTATGTTGATTTCGAATGGAAAATTCATTCAAGTTTGGTAATGTATTGCTGGATTCTAATATGGAACCAGATCTGAAAATTGGGTTTTTAGAGGTTAATAAAAATGGACTATAATAATAGAAAACATTGAAAAGAATGGTGAAAAATGATGTTGAATAAATCCACTAATGATAGACTAGTCTAGTTGTTGTTTTGGGTCAAAATCAGGAGCTTGGAGGTGCTCCAATAGGGGAAAACGCACCGATGCAAAATAGGGCATTTTTGTGTGCAGGCAAGTCAATACGCGTAACGCCTAGGGAAATATGCGTATGGGGGATACTCCCAAGGGATAATACGCATATGATACACATCCGTCTCCAGAGCAAGCACGAACCTCTGTCGGTACGCGTATAGTGGAGTGGCCATACGCGTAT